ATAATTAAAAAATATTAATAATTAAAATAATTAGAAAAATAATAATAGAATAATTAGATATTTATACCTGATGAGAAATTGCTCGATGTAATTGATCCAATTGTTTTACTGATATATGATTCCATTTAATAAAAGACATATCTTTTGATATTTTTGGAGCTAATATAATTTTTGATTCATCTTGTTCATATGAATTTCCCTATATTTATTAACATTTATATTATATTTATACGTTTATATATTAATGATAATAAATAATTTTTTTTTTTTTTTTTTACCTGATAAAAATCAAAATTTCTTAATGTATCTAATAATAATTCTGCACCTTCTCTAGCAAGCATAGATTCTAATAATGAATAAGTAATATAAGGTGGTACTGGCTAAAAAAACAACAACAATAATAATAATCAAAATAATAATAATAATAATAATAATAATAATAACCAAAATTAAAATAAATAAATAAATAATCAAAAAATTAAAAGTTAAATATAATAATCAAATAAATAATTTACTAACCACAACAACTTTTCTAAGAACTTTTCCTGCATCAAAAATTTTTTTATGAAGTTCTTGAATTGTAATTCCGGTTTTTTCATCACCATTTAAAATTGTATATTGAATTGGGGATGCACCTCGATACCTAAACACACACCATATATAAAATGGTGTACATATAATAATCGTAATCATAATCATAATCATAATCATAATCATAATCATAATAATAATAATAATTGACCAACTTTACTTACTTTGGTAATAAAGAAGGGTGAATATTTATAGTTCCTTTGGTAAAAGATTCAATAACTTTGGATGGTAAAAAATAACCAAATGATACTACAACACCTATATCAAAGTTACTTGAAAGATCATCTGATGGTTTTGGAACCTTTTTTTTTAAAAAAAATTTTATTTAATTTATTATTATTATTATTATTATTATTATTATTAATTTTGATTTTTAGAAATAAATAACAGACAGATAAAAAAATAAATAAATAATAATTAATTACCTCCCAATTTTTTAAAGTTTTTAATGGTGCCTCATGAATAACCAATTCTTTATTTTCAGCAATTAATTTGATTGGACCTTTATTATTATTATTGAAAAAATGATAAAGTTTAATTAAAGATGATGAAGAAAATCATTTAAATATGAATGTTGTATATTATTAACCTACTTTGTTTTAAATTCTTTAACCCTCTACCTGTCATCTGATCAGGTGGTATCACGACTTCGAGGGATTTAATTATTGAAGGAGAACTACCTTTTTATCATTGTTTATTGTTATTATTTATTGTTATTATTGTTATTATTATTATCATTATTATTATTATGATTATGATTATGATTACGATTATTATATGT